ACCCGGTATGACCGCAAAATGAACAACAAAGGGTTCGACGAAGGTTCAATAGTGTGGTTGCAAAATCCAGACGCAGCTAAGGAAAATCTCCTAAGCTTCAAGCTAAATGGGACGGCCCGTACCAGATTGTGACCAGGTTCAACGACGTAACCTACCGGATACAGAAAAGCGCAAGAGGTACTCCCTAAGATCGTCCATGTGGATCGACTGGCGCGTTATTATGGGACCGTAAATGCTAATAACGAGCATGTCTTGGGGGTAGTGTTGCACGCCTAATTTGATGTCTGGTACCTGGCACTAGCGCCATCTAGTGTCGGGGAACAGAGCGAGAAGGGCTTCCTGGAAAATGTCAATCTTGAACTTTCCACCAACAGCGCCATCTAGTATCGAACAGAAGAATTAAGCTTTCTAGAAGGGTCCACGCTCGAACTTTCCGCAATTAGTCGGTCGGGACCGGTATTCGTTGGAACATTCTGGACGTTTCGGTGGAAAAGGTGTATTTAAAGCCCCTGCAAGCCGCGATCGGGGGCAGTATTGAATTTGGCGAGACAAGCGAAGCTTCGGAGCGAAATAAGGTGAATCAGTGTGATTAATTATTAGTGTCTTTTAAGTTTTAATTGGTGTTCGGTAATAAAAGTGTAAATTTTGGTAATTCAATCGGCTGTTTTTATTATCACGAACCTCAAGCTCGTATTCATAAAAATGAATCAAGAAAATAACAATCTATAAAATAATTATAATTAGGTATATAATATTACAAATTATTTTCGCAAAATAATATTAAATTTATGAAATAATTTGTGTGGATTCCCTTCAGACAAAAGCCTCCTCCAAGGTGTTCCACTTTTTTTTAATCTGTAGCTGTGGCTAGCTATCTTCGACTCACTGTCACAATTATTTCGTCTGCCCATCTGCCACTGAGCAGCCTCTCGCTCATAGCCTAGTCCATTTTACTGATTTTATAGTTTATCTATGTTTGTTATATCTGGCTATGTGACTGGCCCATTTCCATTTTTTGTAGTGAGAAGAAGAGGCTTTGGTTACTTATTTCTATATGTTAATTCCTATATTACTTACCTTGTCTTAATTTTATATCAAAGGAACTTCTTTCAATTTCTCTCTGAATAGACTGGATTCTGTTTCTAGTTTTGAGATCAATTGTCCAAGTTTGTCAACCGTTTCGTTTTATTGAAGTTCAATTCCAGACCAACCAATATACTGGCCTGATGTAGATTGTTTAACATGTTATTTAATTGCTGGAGGTCGTGCACGATAATGTTGTGGACGAAAATGAGGTGGCTAAGTGAATTTCCATTTATGTTAATGCCTTGCTTGGACCATGGTAAGGTTACCATAACAAGTTGTAGGATGGCTATGAAAAGTTTTGGAGAAATCAGAGAGAAAAGGGGAGTTTTCTCATTGATGTTTCTCTAGATATTTATGTAAATTTTATTTATATTTTGCGTTTATAATGGTTCCCAGAAGCTTTGTGTTTTTGCAGTCTATAAAAGCTACATATAATAATCTGCAAAATTCTAAATATTTCTCTATGACCTGGTCAACTACTTGAATGTGATCTACTGTGCTAAAGCTACACACACACACGCACACGCACACACACATACACACACGCACACGCACACGCACTACCACTACCAGTTACCTGCCCAAGTAACCACAACCCAAACTTTATAGTCGCTGGTCGTTCTTACCTGTATAGTACAGTATAGGACCCAGACTGTATAGGACATGCACAGAAAAACTTTCAGCTTTTATAAAATAATGAAGGTCTGGCCGTCATGAACTTTTAGGCTCAAAGGCCCTTTGTGCTTGCGTATACGCTATGTTCAAAGAACAATAATCCTTAAACATACAGCTGTAAACTTTATTTTTGGTTTGTTGTATTGTAGCTAAGCTCAAAATCTGTCGATATAATAAAAAAAATAAAAATATTAGTAGTAAAAAAAATAAAAATATTGTAGTAATTTACAATAATTTGTCGATTAGCATAATTTTTGATATTTTTTTAACTTAATTTTTTTTTAAATTACAGTGTTAAACAAATTTTTCTGTAATGTTCCGAATGAGTCAATTTTTATCTCAGTAGGACCAAAGTTTTAAGAGATATAAATTTTTTTGTATACTCGTAAAGAATATCTCAAGAAAAAAACAATATGGCTATCACATAAAGGGGGAGGGGATTAGACCTCAGTATGTAGTGTAATATAAGAACCTAGAATATATAATATAAAATAGTTATAAGTAGATACCTATAATATCACTAGCTCGTCACTGGACACACTGTATTTGTAAAGTAGTCAGTTTTATTTTATCAATCTTGTCCAGTTTTGCTGCTGCTTAATAGCAGCTGAAACGATGCGATCATCGCCTGGAGCGGCTCTTAATGCACTTGTATGCCTAACACCCCTTGATCTTTATCAAGACAAGGAGGCGAGGCTTGTTTGTATAGGGTTAACGCCCCGGGCGGTTTGAGCTTGCTCTCCTACAGATTAAGATCCATTCTCGACTCAGTTAAGGAAAGACTAGTCTTATCCATGATCTCAGATATCATGCGTCCTCTATACACTTTTGATAAAAAGTATATAGTGGAATTATCCTCCTGAATGGCCAGGTCATCTATGCGGTAATCTTATATGGTATACCGATGGGTCTCGGCTTCGAGGCCTCGATGTAGCCTTTGGAATTTATAGGAAACGCCGCAAATTTAAAATTAGTATGAATTTGGGTAGATTCACCTCTATCTTGCAGGCAGAAATTTTCACCATACGTCAGCGTACGGAAATCAATCTGCAAAAACACTATCTTAACCATATAATTTATATAAACACTGATAGTCAAGCAGTAATACTAGCGCTCAGGTCAAACTTAGTGAACTCGAAGCTAGTTGGATACTGCGTGAACCGCTTAAACGCCCTAGGATGTAACAACAGGGTCGTCTTAAGATGGATTCCGGGTCACTCAGGTAACGTAGGTAATGACCTTGCCGACAAACTCGCACGGGAAGGCTCAAAGAGTACACAATTTGGACCTGAGCCATTTTTTTTTCAATAATTAAGGCAAATATTTGATTAAAAAGTTGTTAAAATTTTCCATACATAATATTTGCCATATCCATACATAATGTTGCGCACCATTATTAATGCCACTAGTGCCATCTAGTATAGAGTAGCAGAACTATGAGGGCTTTTTAGAATATTTCATTCTAGAAATTTCTACACCTAGTTCTAGATGTTTCAGTGGAAAAGGCCCTATATAAGGCCACTAAGGACTGTGACCGAGTCAGTATTGAATTGGCGATTCAAGCGAATACTTCGAAGCGATATAACTGCGAATTGTGTTTTATTATTAATGTGTTTTAAGTTGTAATTACTGTTCGGTATTTAAAGTGTCAATTTTGGTAATTCATTCGGCAGCTTTTATTGTCAAGAACCCCAAGCTCGTAACAATATTTGTTTCTTAAATACAAGGATGCTTTGTTTCTTTTGCCCTAATACTGATCGTACTCATCATTGTATTACACTAACGAAGAGAAGCAGCATCAAAGGTACCAGGTATCTAGTACTGCGATATCTGGACTTCCTTTAAAAATGAGCTATGGTTTACATAAGTGACGACATCATGGACATCCATAACCAACAAAAAAGATGATTTGTCACCGCTGATTACTTTGATGCATCATAGCTTGCAACTATATTAACACTCATAATAAAACATCGCCGTTGATGTTGCTTGGTGACCGAAATACCTGTCCGGATAGACTACCATACAACCTAAAAAATCAACTTACTCTTTCCATTACAGCAGGTTCAAAAGTCCACTGCTGAACTTAGGCCTTCCCCATAGATTACACTGGTCGGCATCAAAATAAGAGCAAAAAAATGTATATATGGAAGTTATTACGTTAGTTACGTTAAATCCAAATATGTAGTTAGAATTCACCTAGCACGTCAAGTTCGACGCAATAGCATTTTTTGTTTGCACTAGAATTGTTTGCTTATAGTTGCAGGCAGCGGTATTTGTGAACGTTGTTATGTACATGTATTTAGTTGTGTTCTGAGTCTGTCTCTATGTTAGAAAGAAACAACAAGCTATTGTTCAAATCAAAGTTGGTAGATAAAGAAAGAAGAGCATGGGTAGCTTTTGAAAATGTATGTCACAATTTTCTTGGCAATAAAAAGGCTGAAAATATATATAATGATAGAACTGCTTTCGTCGTATCATCAACTTGGATGCAATATGTCTTTAAAATTCACTTCTTGCATTCGCATTTAGATTTTTTCCCAGAAAATCTTGGTGCCGTGTCTGATGAGCATGGTGAAAGATTCCACCAAGACATTGCACATATGGAAAAAAGATACAGCGGCAAGTGGACCCCAGCAATGCTAGCTGATTTTTGCTGGGAAATAAATCGAGAAACAGCAGTTAAAATGTATAAAAGAAAGCGATCTACCAAATAGTTATCATTTTCATGTTTTTTTTTATATTTCTTAATTCATATTTCATTTTAATTTGTGTTGTAAAAGTCATCAATCAGTGTAAATTTTTTCGTTCTAAAATATATACATATTTAATATATATATATCAATACCGATATTTTATTTAAATGTAAATATCTGAAAAGCTAGAGGTGATAGTTGAAATCTTTAAACAGATTTGGACTCAACAAATCAAAGCCAATAGAAATCACATAGTAAACTTTTTGCTCCCGGATTTTTATTTTTTTTTTGCCGACCAGTGTTATCTTAGGTATTTGCCATAATTGCCACGCTTGGCATGTGGGTTAGTAACCGTAGTTTTTATTTTTAGTAGTTATTAAAAAGACGCTCTTGCTGATATCCTAGTTTGCTTGCCTCTGTCTCCTCTTATGACACAAACGGGGCGATATGATGTTAGTGGATATTCTTATTTTCTTACTTACTATGCGGTCAAATAATACAAATTAATATGACCTATCTCATGTTAATAATGTAATATTTCAGATTGATTTACTAGCTGCAGCACGATGTAATATGTTCTCTCATGTTTTATCTACCTATCAGAATTCCTTTCTAACCTTCTCAACTAAAGTATCTCAAACTCTACAAGCTACAATAGATAATATGAGTGAGGCTCCTCAATATGAATTCTCTGTTCTGAAGAGTCTACAAGAAGAGGATGTAAACCAAGAAAAAATGTTTACTGAAGACAAAGACCAGATGTTATTTTTCCAGGTAAACAAGGATGCAAGATTTAGTGCATATTGCAATATTTTTCACCCAGCTAGCTGTTCATAAACGTTAATCATAATTATCGTTGCAGTCCTCTGCTGAACATTAGGCCTTCCCCAAAAAACAGTTATACATCGGCTTCTTCTTTATCATCAGCCCATTAAATTCCACTGCTGAACATGTGCCTCTCTCTCCCATTGTAGGGAGGACTTGCCTTAATCATTATGCTTAGCAGACGAGTCGACTATCACAGTACCAGTGCGAGAAGTCGCACTTTTGACGCAGCTGCTCGTTGGCAGACCGGGTGCTTTACGTCTGGAATAACTGATGGCATACTGGTATCTATAAGAAGCCGTAAGCTTTTACTGACATTTCCCATACTTGTCTCATCATTATCCACGGATGAAATAGGGTGATGGATTCTCGTATAATGTTCTCCAGACTGAATTCCGGTCGCGGTGGCCAATCTCAATTTAAAATAGGCATCTGCGCATTACAGTATAAGTACTCGAGTGTGTGCGCAAGGCGCAGGTTCAACGGCTTTACGTGCCTTCTCGGTTACGTGGATGAAACTTTGCAAAGTTCCTGATTCAGGGCTGCTGACTGTGAATTTCTTGGCATAACACAAAACCCATGATCAGCATTTATAGTTACGACAACTGGACTAACAAGGAAGTTAAATTCTCTTATACATATCAACATTATGGCTTCTTACCATGGGACAAAATGAAACGATGTTTCTCTTTACGCCGCCGAAATACGTTAACAATCAATGCTACATTTGATGAATATACATATTTCTCGTAATTAAGAAATTTAAGAATATATTATCATAATTAATTTATACATTTCAGGATGATTACAAAGATGAAATACCTGATAAACCTGAAAATGAAAATGCAAAAGTTGAAGATGGAAACGAACCGTCCAGTGAGAACAAGGAAGAGCAAACAACGATTGATGAACTTATTAACACAAATTTCTTTGAGCACCAAAGCACTCCTGATAATCAGAATATCAGCTCAGACCTAGCTGGCATTAATTTGGATTGTGGTGACTTACCAGCTAATTTTGGTTCTTTCATGCCGTCACAACTTTTACAAGTAAGCCTTTATTTTTAAACGATTTGATTCATTTTATTCAAATTTTGTAAAAAACAATCTGTTCGTTCCATAAAGAGCTAAATTAAAAGTACTCCAAGGAAGACTCAGCTGCTGGGGCTTAAAACCAGAGTAGTCATGTTCCCTCTATGAAACAGATCATAAGTACTCTGAGCTTGATACGTCACGCTTCTGAAGTATTAATATTTTATACTATTTATGTTATATAATTTATAATTGTGTCATATACTTTCTGCGCTCTACTGCGTCTTATTTAATGTATCAAGTCCTCCCTATCTGAAAGAACGTTTTAAATTTCTTAGCTCTTGTCACGATTTTTCCTTACGGTCCAAAGAAAACCGTTCGCTCCAATGTCCTGTACACTCCTCGACATTTTATGATAAAACTTTTGCTTTTCTTGGAGTAAACTCTGGAACTCCTTACCCTAGTCAATTAAAAGTGCTCAATCTTTAAATGTGTACAAATTAAGGAACACTATTTGTCTCCTAACTCCTCTCTCTTCCTCCTCTTAGTTATGGTCACTAATATACCTTAAGTATGTTGTCATTTTATAGTATATAAGTTGTATTTTTTTTTGTCTAATTTAGTGCACCCTACCCATTAATCTTATTTTATTTTTATTAATTTCCTCTTCTGGGTTGTCTGGTAGAGATTGCTATGTAGCAATAAGGCCGCCTTTTGTTTATCCCTCATTATTTGTTCATTATTTGTTATATTTATGTTTTGTTGGTGTACAATAAAGAGTATTGTATTGTATTGTGATAAAACTATATATTTTAACTTATTTTTAATTTCCGACGTTTTAGGTGCTTTACAGCACCCATGGTCCAAGGGTGGATGACTTTTACTGAGATGTTTGACGTCCTAATGTCATAGTTAGCCCAGCTACCTTCAGTTTTTTTAATATTAATTTTCGGTCCGATCTAGGCACAACGAGCTCACAGTATCTTGAAGTCTTGCAGTGGTATGCTTGGTTTTCGGTTTAATTTTGTTAATTATAGGATCTCAACGAGATGGTGGCACCCATCCATCTTCTCTATAGAAATTCAGATGTTTTTTTTTAATTTCAATAGCCTCGCATATCATCCTTGGTAGGAATCGGTGTTTTTTGCGAGGATTTGTGGTTTATCAAATCTGATGTAATGGTGGAGACGATCTTGAACATGTTCACGGATTGCAGACTTCCCGGAGCGTGTGCCTGCTGTACTACCGTATATCAGAGGAGTCACAGACAAGGTTGGCTACATCTTGAAGCGAGCTTCCATTAAAACATACTACAAAGCTGCTGAAGAAAACTAGTCAATTTTTACCATCCGTCAAGTGTAATATTCCTCTACAAGATGCAGGAATGCAAGTTAGATTGTGAATGTGGTCTCTTTTATATACGTCAAACAAAAAGATCCATAAAAACCCGCGTGAATGAATATATAGCTGACGTGAAACACCGACGTTCCGGGAAGTATGCAGTCTGTGAACATGTTCAAGTTCATTATTATTTTTTTTATTATTTGTACAATAAACACACTAGCAGCTAAAAAAGCTGATGCGAGTAACTAAGCGTCTTCTCTCGTTCTTGAAGGCATTCAATGTAGGATCATCAATCACATTTTGTGGTAGCTTATTCCAGTTGGTGACAACACGATTTGTAATAAAATTCTTCATAGTATTTCGCTTGGCAGCCTTGTGACAAAGTTTAAGTAGATGTCCTCTCAGGCGTTTGTTTCTATTTAGGAAGTACAAATTTTGCAGAGTAGGAATATTGTAATATCCTGTCAGTATTTTGTATGTTTCAATCAGACTACCTCTCTGTTCTACGCCACGATTATAATATATTTTATTCACTTTTAATATAATAGCTCGTTCTTGAAGGCATTCAATGTAGGATCATCAATCACATTTTGCGGTAGCTTATTCCAGTTGGTGACAACACGATTTGTAATAAAATTCTTCATAGTATTTCGATTGGCAGCCCTGTGACAAAGTTTAAGTAGATGTCCTCTCAGGCGTTTGTTTCTATTTAGGAAGTACAAATTTTGCAGAGTAGGAATATTGTAATATCCTGTCAGTATTTTGTATGTTTCAATCAGACTACCTCTCTGTTCTACGCCACGATTATAATATATTTTATTCACTTTTAATATAATAGGTACATTGTTAATGTCATGTGCAACATACTTTGCTACTCCTCCCCCTTTTCTTTCTCTTCTGTCCAACCGAACGAGTGTATACCAGATCCATTTATATTTATAAGACTGTCATCAATTCTAGAATGTAAATAAGTTTAAAGCAGGTTTATGTGTATTTACTTCAAGAAGAAATAAATCAAATTTCGCCATAATGGAAGCCAAATTCGTGTGTAGTATACAGAGTTCTGTGATATTATGATGTGCTAGTTTTTTGTTGTTATTATAATCTTTGGTATGTTATTGATATATTTGATCGTAAGATTTTACTCACCTTTCACAGTCTCCTAAATTGATCTCTTTGATATAACACTTATAGCATTTTATTTATTGAACAGGACTAACTTGAAATGACGCGGTTTTTCACTTTTGAATACAGGTATACCCAAACGCAAGAGAGTGAGGTTTTCCCATTGACTTAACCGGGCCGACCGAACAACTACAACGGACCAATGCATTGGCCCTAAAATTACAGTTTAGGGCCAACGCGAATCGCGAATCGTGGTGCGCACGCAGGACAGATTTGCCCGTCATAAATATGTCTAGTTGCGTGGTAAAAGAATGCAAAAATTACGATACAAAGATAAAAAAATGGGATATGGTATCATCGGTAAAATAACCTTATATTAATTTTGTTACAATTAAATGATTATATAAACCCATTTTTGGCTTTATTTTACAGTTTAGTTACGTTACCAAGATTAGGCCAGGGTTGGATTCAGACCCTCAAAAATATTGTACATGGAAAATAAAATTTTAGTATTTAAAAAAAATTATATCACGTTTGACGTTTCATAATTCTTTTTTCCCATGTGCCGGGATTTTGGTGTCACGCGTTTAGTTTATCTATACGTTTCGTTTTTTAACGGTTTTGTTTTTATTTCTGTTTAGTTTTTGTCTAAAGAACTTAGTATAAGTTAAATTTTGAATATTGGTACCTAATATATTTTATATTCAATAAGGGTAAAACGAAAAGAGTACAAAAGAAAAGGATCGATCGATCATCGATTGATGAGAAAGGGAGCTAATTCTAATTTTATTTAAAAAACGCGGTACTCATGTACAATACAGAAATTCTCGATATCGTAGGGTTAATAAAAAATATTAAAATATAAAGGACCCAATAATTATACAAGTCGACCTTTAGGTAAAATTATGGTATTTTCGCTTAGTATTATTATGATACTATGTACTACAAACTATCAAGTAATGGTACAATTAGAATAATTATACTACAAAATCCGACCCTGGTTACGTCGTGTTTTGATATGACGTTTTTATTATGACAGATGCGCTACTTTTTCTTGTATGAAAAAGTTATGAGTAAAATATTTAGATAGGCCTATCCTTCCTTTTGAAATCTTTGGGTTTTCCGGTTCGGGAGTTGTCAGTGACGTAATAGTTTTAGAAATCTGGTCTTTGTCATGACTTTTTCTGTCTTCTGGTGAATTTGCTGTAGATTCAGGTATTCCAAACACAATAAGGTTACGACTACGATTTTTTCTTTCCTGAATTTCATATATTAATGTGTCCAAATTCACTATGTTTATGCGATGTGTCTTTAACTCTTGAACCTGCTGTTGAAGCTCTGTTACAGGTCTCCGAAGATCGCCCCTCCTCGCATTCAACACATATGTATGACAATTTGGGTGTTTGAAGTGCAACAGCACGCATTACTGTTGTAGTTAGTCCACTGCATTTAGTACATATTACTCTTTTGCAGCCTGCAATTAGTTTTTGGGGTCTTATCATCAATACGACTGTTACACTTGAAACACTATGCCATTTTGATTTATTGCTCCCAAATGGTAGTATGGTTTAGGTAGTATATTTTTATTTATGTGGTAACCCGGTATAGTTTATGCTCCCTTTTTGACAGCTGAGAATGTCAAATTTTAAGAATAGACAAAAAAGACATAAACACACCCCGTCACCCAGAGGAAGAGACCTCCCCTGAACCCCCCCCCCCCCCTTCTCCCTCCTCCCCCTCCCCCCCCCTCCGCTTTTGGGTGGACCCCCCCCCCCCTCTGACTCTTCCCGCCCCCCCCCCCCACCCCACCAAATTTTTTTCTTTTTAAGAGTAGTAAAAGAAAATGTCAATAAACGGATTCTATCATATGTAAAACACTATTTAAGCACAAGATTAACGTAATTCAAAGTCACAGTTTTACTATATTTATCAATTTATAATGTAGCATGTGAATCAATCTCCATACACAACACAAATAGCACTTTGAATGAACACTATTTCCCAGTGTTTTAATTTAATGTGAACAGAGCAAGAAAAACACAAGTTGTTTCAGTGACAATCCAAAAATGTGTCATCCTCACCATTAAATCAGATTTGATAAATCACAAATCCTCGCAAAAGAACATCGATTTCTACTACGGATGATACGCGAGGCTATTGAAATTAATAAACATCCTTATTTCAATAGAGAAGATGGATGGGTGCTGCCATCTGCTTGGGATCCTATAATTAACAAAATTAAACCCGAACCCAAGCATACCATTGCAAGACTTCAAAATACTGTAAGCTTGTTTTGGACCGAAAATTAATATTAAAAAACTGAAGGTAGCCGGGCTAACTATGACATTGGGACGTCAAACATCTCAGTCCCCCGTGTTACCATAGGTGCTGTAATAAGTTAAAATAAGTAGATTAAGCCCGATAGAATCCGTATATATATAATTTTATTCAATTTGTAGTGTTCTCGTAAATTTAAGAAATCATCAAACAAAAATTAGAATCCTTTATTATGTTTCAGGATTTGAATCCTGTAAACTTTTTGGAGGGATCACTTGCACCAATTCATCCTAACACTGTTAGTGCGCCGAAATTACCAAATCAATCTGGTATAAAATCTGCAATTGCACCAAAGAAAGAGGACAAAGCAGCCTGGTTCAAGCTTTTTGCTGAACTCGACCCTCTTGCTAATCCAGATAATCTTCCAGGTTCTAACACAAACCAGAGTCATGCTGCATGAAGGAACATAATTTTTATATTGGTTAATTGAGGGTTGCCATATTCTCCTTTTATTATATTGGTTAAAATTATTACTTTCACGGGGTTATTTTGCAATATACGGCCAAATTTTCAGAGAACTTTCAGAATGATAAATATAGGCGAATTTTGAAGAAAAATTAATTTAAAATCATCTCAAACATTCTGTCTCTTTATCTTTTAAATTCAGAAAGCGTGGTAACGCGTAATTTTAACTAATTGCCATTCACAAATATCTACTATTTTACTACGCACGCAAAAATTCATAAGGGTCGCTCGGTCGGCAAAAACATTGTCAACAATCGCGCACAGAGGAGCGCCCTTACGTGTTCTTGTTACCCATAAATCACTTCCAATTTGGGATAGTTTAAAAAAAGTAGAAGCCTTATTTACTCGTATTTTCAAGAAACTGCAATAACGGTATATGATTATTTATATATTTGAACTTAAGTATAAAGTTTGACTACTCTTTGGAAAATAACCCTGTATACATAAGAAAATCATAAGGTGCTATAAAATCACAACATTTTATCATGAACAATATCTCAGACAGTAAGACATAAAAGGTACGGCAGGAGAAGTGGGGAAAATGGCAACCCTCATCTTTTCGTAATAAATGTTATGCATTGTACATAAAACATTCTTAAATTGATTAATATAAATGTCCATTGCTAGTAAAGCCGTTCTAGTTCATTATATGCCATTTTACGTTAGTGATTACAAACAAGTGTATAATAAGTATAATATTTACTAAATTTACATGCCAAGTTTGTAGACATTGCCATTAAGTATGTTACACAAAGAGTATTTTTAAATTTATGATAAACTGTATTAAACTAAATGAATATTATTTAAATATATGTTAAAATGAATGATTTATTACATTTTAATTTTAAAAATATTACATGTTCAACGCAAATTAATTATATTTGGTAATTACTAAACTTTATAGAAAATATTTTGCTTCCTTGTAATTTTTGTTTTTATGAAAATAATGGCTGTAAAAACATACATTTGTAATTCATAAACTTCTCATCATTCCTTTGCTATAGTGTTATATTTTTATATTATTTCAACGAAGGTATTATTTGTTATATACTCTAGAATAAAAAGTTATATTAATTTTGTAACATTCATAATGATCGAGCATATTAATAATAAGGTTGAATATTGGTTTTCATACCCGATATGTTTCTGTATTTTATGAGTACATAAATTATTATCCAATATTTAAAGATATATAATATAATAACCATTACTTAATAATACCATGTATCCTAATCTTATTTTCTTTGTTAATTTAGATGTCTAGTCCTTTAATTCAGTTTTAATATATTGAATATTAAACCAAAGACTATTTTATTAATACATACGTAGTATTATATTGTGTGGTTTACTGCATAGGCCTTATTTTAAAGTTTTCTTAATAAGGTAACCTAGGCAATTAACGCCCACCTAACTTAAAACGAAATTTATGATGTTATTAATTAATGAAATTAAATATACTGTATATTAAAGGTATTGCAATATATTGCAGAATTGTAAAATGCAAATTTTGATCCACTATTAATTACAGTTCCACATCAGTACAACTTTAAAAAAAAAAACTATTTTGGGCGTTATTAAAAATACATAGTTTATTAACGCCCGTTTGAGTTAAGGAACGAATAATGCAGTTATAGACACTATATAATTGAAAACCACACATAATCCGGATGTTATTTTTTTATTTTTTCTGATAAGAATACAAAATTTAGGTAAAAAATCAACAATAAACATAAAAAATAGTAAACTTCGCAGCATATGTAACATTACTTGTAACTTCTTTTTAATCATCATTATTAAAACAATTTCGATACTACATTTAAATTTGTAATAATTACTAGCATAATAGCTTTAAATAAGTTTAAAAAAGAAACATATTTTTTTTTGGTTTAGTGGGCGTTATTATGCGATGGTGGATTATTGCGCCCTGTATTGTATTAGGTAATACCCGCCCCAGAGCTAGCATTCTTAATGAGAGTTGCTTCACAAACTAATATTTTGATAATTAAAATGAGATCAGGTAATTAGTACAGTTACTTACAAAATGGAAAACAACTGTCAATTGCAAATAAACCATTTTCTAAACTATAGTATGATACAATATCAATCAGTCTTTGAATATGAAACCAATCAGTTAACTTGCTTTATCTTAAAGTCATTAAATAGTATAAACCAGATTAACACTCGGAACAAATAAATTCTTTATCACATTTTGATAGTCCGACACACTCTTCGTGGTACCATCTCTTACAAATTCCACATTGACGCATGTCTAACTTCTTGTTTTCAAAACATGCATAGCAGTACCACTCTTCGGTATCATCTTGTACTTCATTTATTTGCTTCTTTTTTCTCTGTTGTTTTTTTGTTTTATCTTTACACTTTAAAACTTTTTTCACAGTGTTTACTTCTTTGGTGTTAGGATTTTTCTTATCTAATGTATTCTTCTTCTGTTGTTTATTAGTTTTGACATTAACCTTGCTATTTATTTTGTTTTTTTGTCGTTTCTCACTTTTATCTGAAAATAAATCCTTAGTTATTCTTTGTCCTTTATAATTCATCGCTTTCTTACGCTGTCTTTTTGTTTTGACTTGTGCATAATTGGGAGTTGGCAAAAAAATATTGGAATGGTGTCTTATTACTTTGTTTGTTTAAATTAATATTATAATCTCCATCTGAGGCACTAAAGTTCTCATTATTTGTTTTGTACATTTCATGTGAGGAACTAATAATAAATTTCTTAGGTGTGATTTGCCCTTTAGGGATAAAATAGTCAGTATTTTCATCATCTTCGGCTGACGAGTAACTATATATGTCTTCAGCAGCGCATTTTTTAAAGAGAGACGTATGAAATAAAGCATATAAATCAGAAATTGTGGAGTTAGAACTAGAGCTTGGACGAATAGGTTTATGTAATCCAGAACAACTTGGAACTCCCAAATCTATTTTGTAAGTGTCCTTATTGCTTAGAAGTGGTTCGTCACTGGCACTTACCAAAAAAACGTCATTTTCTGAAATCAAAGAAGGTGAAGCACAGTGTTCTTCCACCTGTGTTGCTGGCCTATGAGGATGTTCTACCATTTCGAAGTCAGAAACATCGGGAGATGAGCTATAGTCAACGAGACGGCATTTAACTATTGAAGAGTTTTCAGTTGTTGAAGGTACGATTGGTACCAAATCGGTTTCGGTCGGTTTATTAAGATCAGGGTATTCATCTATCTCTAATACATCAGATGTAGAGTTCTGCAGGAGCCAATCACATATCGGTAGATCGTCATCAGTGTCATCGTTCAATATGACGTCAGATAAAGGACTTTGTATGGGCTCCACGCTAGTTTGTGGCCATGCAATTTCAGACAAAACTGATGGGGCATATGCTTCCTCCGGTATAGCTTCAGGTTTAAACGGGAATAATCTTGTTGCCGCAAATCCATTCACAATGTTGCTATGCGTCATGCATTTGGGCCAGACTTGACTAAATATCTTATTAAAAGTGGCTTTTGACATTGTTCTGTCGGGGTGTGTGTATAAGAAGTTCAGAACTGCTTCATCCCAGTGGTGTTCATACGACTTATTGACTGATTTGTCTAAGGGCTGAAGCTCATGCGTTGTGTTGGAAGGGAGGCAATACAAAAGTATATCGTTTTTATCAGCTTCATCTAAAACTTCTATTGACAAGTGACATTTGGCACCATCAAAAATAAGTAAACATTTTCCAGCAACCTTGTATTTCGCTAAGTGCTTAATAAACTCCACAAACAAATCAGCAGTTATACTGCCTTTCGGTGCCATCCTGACTAACGTTCCTGGTGGTAAGTTATCACATAGATCAGGTCTCTGTCTTTTCCTTTAAAGAGGATCATAGGTGGTATCGCAGTACCAATGGCATTCACGCACATTGCTATCGTAACATTTTCCGCGTGTTCAGGGGCAATGAGATGAACTCTTTTGCTTCCTTTCTCTGCTAGGACTGTGTTCTGCTTGTGTACAGTTATCCGGCATCCCTTTTCATCCATATTGTAAAAAATTTCTGGATGTTGTAGGATATCCATCTCATTGTACAAGTTTTGCAAACTCTGAAAATGTTGCTGAACAATTGTTTTGTTTAATTTTTGTGCTCGAGCTGGATTCATTATTTGCGGCTTTCGTTTGCTAATTGAGGGATTCCGCTTTCAAAAGTATCTCAAACGATCAGTGCCAGCAATTCTTTTGGAATTATTGAAATTATTTTTTATTTCGTATGTTTCACAAAACATGTATGCTTTTTTTCTTATAAATTTTGCGTGAGGGGTACACCAATTTTAGCGAATCTTTTTATTCGTTCAACAAGGTCATTTTCTTGATGTTCTGTAAAAATTGGTTTTCTTCCCAAACGTTTAACGATTGTGTCCGTTTTTAAATGATCCCTCAATATTCTTCGCGGAATATCATGCCTGGAAGCTGCAGCACGCTGACACAATTGGCCTCTTTGAACAGCATTCATTGCTGCTTTTAAGCCTTCTTCAGTCCACAATTGTCCTCTTTTTTCACCCCAGGACCTGGTCGGAGCCTAAAATGGCTCTAACCTGCGTAGGTAATAATTAACATAAATAATAAACGTTTTCCCAAATTATAGATTTTAGTAATTAAGTTTTATTTTCGATTTAGCTTAGTAACGTACAGTTTAAGTCCTTTAGACATGATTTAGAAAACTTTTATATTGAAATAACATAATAAGTGCATTAGGCCTATAACGCCCATTTGTCTGTTAACAACCTATATAAGCTAATATCGCCCAAATGGTTTTTATTGGGCGTTGTTACCCGAAAGGGAATTGTTATTCAATCCACGCATTTTAATACAATAATTACAAAAATAAACTCAAAATATCATAGCATAGTCTAGGAAAGCTAGTAAACTAGTAAATATTACGAGAAATATTACGAAACATGCGGTTAAACAAATAAAAACTTACAATTTGCTGGAGCAATTTTTATATTTACGGTGTTCACAACTGACATTCGACATGCGAAGCGCGTCACTGCCAAGATGGCGGCGCGAGAGCATTGTCGTCGTACTCGTGCATTCGTATGGGTATATTTTATGTTTGTGTAAGGTGTAACACAAACCATAATAAATTAATAACGTTTTTATAAGATTGGGCGTTATTAAACCACGGGCGTTAATTGCCATACCTACCTTACATACAGATGTAAATCTAATATATAAAAATTAATGTTTGTTTGTTTGTTAATATTTTATACCCTGCCATACCTTTCATCAGCTTGCGGTAAAACTTTGTCAACTTATTGCTTGCACTTGCGTGAAGTTATTGCCATAATTGTACCAACAAATTTATTTGAAAAGTATGTATCATTCAACTTCAATGAATGTATTATCATTCCTAATTAAAAAATATAAGTTCCGAATTTAAAATGATATTTCCACAATTATTTCTTCTACAACAGCAATTCGCCTAGTACGAGCAAGTTTAAAATAAAATTTGTCTAATTTCATAGGATTAGCATGTACTAGTTGAGGTTAAGTTCACATTCAATATATGCTTACTCATTTTTTAAGTTTTCAAGGAAGGAAGGAAGGAAGGAGAGGAAGCAAACAAGCATGGGCTCATCTGATGGTAAGTGACTACTACCACACATGAAGAACTGCAACACCATGGGGAGTAAAATGTGCGTGCCTTGTAAAGAGGAGTACTCTTTTCTCAAAAGTGTCTTAGTCGTATCATTTCGGAAAAAAATCTAGTGATAACTGATGTCATAAAGAAGTCGCGCGAGGAAGAACAGTTATGATAAATGAGACACTGGTGGAGTAAGCATCCAGATTTTTTTATAGGATACGAGGCAAACGAGCATATTGCTCACCTGATGGAAAGTGATTACCGGCGATCACGAGCCACTGCAACACCAGGGGAATTGCAAATGCGTTGCCAGCCTTTTTAAAAAGGAGTAGGCTCTTTTCTTGAAGGCCTTAAAGTCTTATCGGTCCGGAAAAATCTCTGGTGGTAGTCGATTCCATATAGAAGTTGTTCGAGGAAGTAATTTTTTTTAAATCGCACTATGTTGGACCGCCAGTCATCCAAATGGTATGGATGGTATCGCGAGTTTTGTCGCAATGTGCGATGGTGAAATTATGCGGCTGGAATTAGTCCAAACAATTCCTCAGAGCATTCCCCGTGGTAAATGCAATAAAATACACTAAGACATGCAACATCTCTTCGCAGTGCCAGTGAGTCAACCCGATCGGAAAGAGCTCGGTCGCCGACGATTCGAACAGCTCTGCGCTGGATGGATCAAATGGAAAGAGCTGGCAGTTGGTAGCTCTGGCCCAGAAATGGGAACAGAATTCCATGTGGGGCCGAACCTGCGCTTTGTAAAGTTGCTGACGGCGTGCCGGCATGAAAAACTGTCCTGCTCTGCTGAGCACGCCAAGCTTTTTCGAGACCAATTTGGCCTTCACTTCCAAGTGACCCATGAAAAGGATTCTGATATTGGCTGAGGCAACAAGGGGAGTGTCTTGAAACTGAGGAGATACGACGAAGGGGTTTTTTTAGCGGTAAACGCGCAAACATTTGTCTTCTGGGGATTGAACTGGACTAGATTAAGTCGCCACAAATCCAAGACTTTGTTCAACAAAGTCTCGACTTCAGACACAAGTTTATCCCGGTACTCGACGACGTTTTACCGAGAAATAATGGCACGGCCGGTGTATAAAGTATCACCAGTGCTGTTGTCCGCATAGCAATGGATGTTACCGGCTTGCAATATGTCATTGATATGCAGAAGAAACAGCGTTGGTGATAGCACGCAGCATTTTAGAACACCAGCGTTAATGGGTTTGTAATCGGAGCATGCACCATCTATTACGACCTTGATGCTCCGATCTGCAAGAAAACTGGTGATCCAATTGCACAATTTCTCGGGAAGCCCATAGGGAGGAAGCTTCGTAAGAAGCGCTTCGTGCCAAACCCGTTCGAAGGTTTCTGCTATGTCCAAACTAACGGCAAACGCCTCCCCATCTCTACTGCCACCGCCCATATATGAGTTAGGTAACCCAGAAGATTACCAACCGAGCAACCGCGACGGTAACCGTACTGGTGGTCACTAATCAGCTGGTGATCCTCAAGGTACCGCATGAGCTGGCTGTTAATAACGGACTCCATTATTTTAGAGAACAAGGAGGTGATGGCGATAGGCCTGTGGTTGGACGGATCGGAGCGCTTACTTTTTTGGGATCGGGTGAACGAAAGCTGTCTTCCATCATTTCGGGGCTACGCCTAGAGAGTAGTAGTACCCGAAAAGACGCGTTAAAACCGGTGCCAACTCCAGAGCATACGTCTTCAGCACAATAGAGTGCGCCATCAGGCCCACTCGGCTTGTTGTCCAGGAAGAGGAGTGCTCTGCGCACCGAGAGTTGGATAAACAGCACATCCTGCATGGAGCACTCACACCGCGGGATGGTCGACGGTGTGTTCCTCCCGTCATCAAGAGTCGAGTTGGACACAAAGAGAGAGCCAAACAGATCGGCTTTGTCCTTTGCGGCATGGGCTAGCGATTCGTCCTCTCTGTGTAGAGTTGGGAGAGATGGCTGACATAAGTTCCCTTGGACAGCCTTGACAGATGGTGTTATTGATATCGCGATTTGTGTCGTGATGGCGATGGTGAAATTTGACAGCTGAAATTAATCCAAACAATTCTGAGCACCTCCCGTGGTAAACGCGATAGAAAATGCAAAATGATGGAACTTCTCTTCGCAACACCAGTGTCTAAGTACCAATCAAAAATAAAAAAAAACTCTATCGTAGCTGATTCGGGCGGTTCTTCACTGGATGCACTTGCACTGGGTTGCCCCAGAACAGAGATGTGAACAGTATTACACGTGAGGCCGAACTTTCGCTTTGTAAAGTTCAAGGAGTTTTCTGGCATATAATACTGTCCTAGACTATTGAGCACGCCAAGCATTTTAGAGGTCAATTTAGCCTTCCTTCCAAGTGACCGCGGAAGTGAACGTACTCGATATGTCAACGCCGAGGACAACATAAACTGCACAGATTTAGCCTTCCCAATCCAAGAATTTGTTTTACAAAGACTCTGATTCAGACAAGTTTGTTTCAGCACTCCATGACATGCTCCCAAAAAGTATTGGCACAGCCGGTCTCAGAAGCATCTGAAAACAATGAATGTGACTGGTTTGCAATATATCGTTAATATGTAAAAGAGCGTAGGTGATACTCTCCTATGTAGCATGGGTGCTACATAGGAGAGTATCACCTACCCTGTGCAGAGATAGAAAAGATGGCTGACAGAATTTCCCTTGGCCAGTTCCTAGCCTTGGCGAGAAACCAGAATGAACGGGTTCTCAAAAGAAGGCGAACTTGTTTCTTGCCAATTCTACCGATATGCTCTAAATTTGCCTTGGCAAAAACTCTTTTGAAGGACCTGGAGGCGGTATTATGCTTCTGTTTAAGAGTGCTGGTGCTCATAATCAACATCCCAGGACGTCGATGCATTAGCCCCTAGCCTGGTAGCACTTTTGCTTAAAGCGCGATGTGATTTAACAGGAACGACCAAACCAAGACTGGAATATGCTTCTGATGTTCACCGTAGTTGATACAATAAAAACTCTTATCCATAAAGCACCCCATTAGCGACAGAAACAGCAACAACGCTGTGATCATCCGACAAGAAACAAAACATGTTTAGGATGCAAAGAAAGACCTCATCCCATAACTATCCGCCGACCAATAGTGCCACTACACAGTGGCAGCCTGCTCTTCTTAACCGCGATGAGCGCGTGAAGGGCACCGTATTCAGGATCAGACAGTGGTTCAAAATTCCAAGAGGTCCAATCTATGAAAAACTGATAGCTGTGCATTTGATAGTACAACCTTTTTCACATAAAAACACCTCAGTTAAGCCTGAATATGAGACTCCAAGCCAAACCATGAGTGACGAATTATAATGTGCTCGTCGAACCCTCGGAATACGCGTGCTGACTTTTCACTGTTGTGAGCATACACCTTATCATTTTTTTTATTATAACTTTCTTTGATGTTAAAAAAAATTTTTATCCGTAAACAAAATTTCGCGATATTTTTTCCGCGTACCGTCGTAGCAAAGCGCGGGATCTACTCGTATCCAGACTAATTTTATTAAACGCTCGGTCAAAAAATGTCCGGTCTCCTTAAGATACGCTCGTCGTCCAAGGATTCATCTTATCTTAAGGAGATATCATCTCATCTTATGAAGGCTGGGGAAGGAAAGGGACTAACCACAAACAAAAAGCCCCAAGGACAAACCCACCCAAGAAAAACCTTGACGCGGGACACCAAGAAATTAAATTTAAAATTTATGGCAGATTATCTCATAGAACTTAAGCAATTTGTTAATCTACCTTTCCGATGGTGCAATACGAAGGTGAATGTAGGATCTCAGTGACGCCACTAGATAGGACAATCGTGTTTGACCTCTTTTAAAGGGCTCAAAGGACCTAGGTGACTGTTATAATCTCACCTTTCTGATTGTGGTGAAAGGTGAAAGGTGCAATTTAAAGGTTTGTATAGGATGTCAGTGACGGCACTATTTTATATTTTCATTATTACTGATTTATAGGAGTCACGCAATTTTATATGTGATACTTTATACGCCTAATTTGCAATATTATACAAATAATACACAAAATTTATACGCCTAAATGGAGAGAAAACACAAGAAAAATAAAGAAAACTAAACCAAAAATAGTGTACCTGTGGCGGCGCTGTCGTCGCGCCGCAAGCGAAACATACCGAAGCCTAAATCACGCTATCAACATTCCGAATCATAAACAGCATATATAGAACATCTCCGAACTATCACACGGAGCGTTGGCCGCTCCCCGGGCATAACACCTTGCCCGGCGAGAGATCTCCACTTTTCCTTCATCGGCCACAGTGGTGACCCCGACGTGATCTGAACACGCAACCAACAACCTTCGGAAACTACAACTTTCAAGCCTTCGTCATTATCCTCAAGAACCCCTACCATTCACTACTGAGAATCGTCTTCTGCAGTCTTCAGTTCCTGCAAGCCACTCCAACTTGTCTTCATCTCGACTCACCGCAGATTAATAAGGCAGACTTCTGGCACTTGCTCCGGCACATCGTTCTCACCGGCATCACTTGCCAGTGCGTAGTACGGCATGCATTACATATCGGCACATCATTCGCACCGGTATCACTTACCCGTACGCACACAGCATGCATTCCCCACCGGCATTAAGGACGCATCGGCAATCGGACTGTGCTATCGACCTCTACTCTGAGCAGGGAGGTGATGTGGCGGCGCTGTTGTCGCTCCGCAAGCGAAACATACCGAAGCCTAAATCACGCTATCAACATTTCGAATCATAAACAGCAAATATAGAACATCTCCGAACTATCACACGGAGCGTTGGCCGCTCCCCGGGCATAACACCTTGCCCGACGGGAGATCTCCCCTTTTCCTTCATCGGCCACATACCTATATGTGTTATGTAACTTAATACAATACGAAAAATTATTTTATAAAACTTAACATTTTCGATTATCAAACAAATCAAATAATTATTTTATTAATTCTAGACATTTTTCTTTTTATTTAAAAAACATTACCCCCACACTAGGATTTTCTCCCGTATCGTGGAGGTAGTTCACATACATAATTTGCACAGGGATAAACATCCATACCTGGAATAATTATTTGCAGACCGTACAAATACTTGTTCCGTGCGGGATTTGTACCCGCGGCCGCCAGCGCAGCAACTGATCGCTAAGCCACTACGCCATGGAGCTTGTTTATTTTATTATTTTTGTACAATCTTAAGCTGGGGCCACACTAACGAGAAATGCGTTAATTATCGCGTTGATGGACGTTGAATGTAGGTGTGGCCACGACTTAACGCGTTAATTTGACAATGACGTTAACAATGCCGTTTGACGTTTGGCGACTCGAGTAGCGGTACATCAAAGAGATTAACGCACGAAATAACAAGTTGAAGCGGCCACACTACGTTTGACTGTGCACGATGAACGCAACAAGGTCGCACGTATGGCTATTATGGAGCGGAACAATAAAAAGTTATTACGTTTCTTAAGATTCTGCAAACGGAGCCATGTTTGTGGGATCCGAGACTCAAAAGTTTTAAGAATCGTACAGTGCAAAATGATGCTTTGCGACGAATTGTCCAATTATTATCTTTTAATACAACTATCGGAGACTTAGAAAGGCGAAGGAAAACCTCATGGGTTTTTATGGAACCATTTTTAACAAACATAAAAATCTTACAGGGTACAGATCAAGTATTTTCCATGCCCATGATTGCAGAGAAGTTTTTGGCCAAAAACCAGAAAGTTTTTGTGCGTTCATGGATTTGGAAAAGGCTTATGACAGAGTGGACAGGAATGTGTTATGGCAAACACTGAACTCATATGGGTTGAGCGCTAGTTTGATACAGGCATTAAGGTCTCTTTATAGGGACTCTAGTGCTTGTGTCAGGATCAATGGGGTCTACTCGGACTGGTTTGGCATCCAAAAAGGTGTCAGACAGGGCTGTGTAGCTTCCCCTTGGCTGTTCAACCTATTTATGGACAGATGTTTGCAAACTTTGAAAGATGAAGAATGTGGGTTAAGAATGGGCGAGTTAACCGTCAAATGCCTTTTGTATGCCGATGATCAAGTCATATTTGCGTCATCGGCGGCTGAGTTGCAAATGATGGTTACATTAATGAACTGGGAATTAAAAGAAAGGGGAATGAAAGTGAACGCAAGTAAGACGAAAGTGATGGTTTTTGAAAGAGAAGAAAGCAAAACGGTATGTGAAATAAGAATAGAAGGAGAGTTAATTGAGCAAGTGGATGAGTTTGTGTATTTGGGATGTGTATTTAACAGGGTTGGTAGATATGATAGGGATATAGAACGACGAGTAAATGCAAGGAATAGAGTGAATGGGGCACTACACTCTATTATAAAGAACCAGAATGTGTCAAAAAAGTCACGTATGGTAATTCATAATGCTGTCTTAGTCCCTACTTTAATGTATGGTAGTGAAAGCTGGGTGTGGCAGAAGAAGCACGAAAGTAGAATTAATGCTGTAGAAATGCGGTCCTTAAGGAATATGCTAGGGTTGAATCTGAATGACAGGGTGAGAAATTGCGTGATAAGAGATAACTGTGGTATGCAAGATGATGTTGTGACCAGGATTAAGCAAGGAATGCTTCGGTGGTTTGGTCATGTAGAAAGAATGAATGAGGAAATAGTGACAAAGCAAATTTATTTGGCAGATGTGAACGGCCGAGTCGGGAAGGGACGCCCTAGGAAAAAGTTTATCGACCAAATTGGCGATATTTTGAAAATGGGCCACGTTAGAAGTACCCTTAACCGAAGATCATGTATGCGTAAATATATGGATGTAAAGGAGGCGAAAGAGGTATGTCAGGATCGTGCCAAATGGAAGTCCGTAGTCTCTGCCTACCCCTCTGGGTGACAGGCGTGAGTGTTTATGTTATGTTATGTTATAAAAATCTTCAAGAAACATTAACGCAAACTTTAACGCCGTTCAATGGCATTGCAATTTAATGACGCGGAGCGTACAAGTGTAGCCAACTTTATTGCGTTACATTGGCGCATTTATAGGCATTAGCCGCGTACTGATTGAGCGAGCAGCCTCGAGAGCAGATTGAGAGGCAAATCCTCGGTCGGTCAAGACACGCACGTGCTGCTTCGCCCGAGCGTGCCGCGGCCCGAGCCGAGCATTGTCGGTTTTTGTCGATGCTCAAAGGCGCCTCAGTACATTTGCCGCGCTCACTCAAGACGGTAGTATTTTGACTCGCTTGTGTGTGTCATGGATAAAGAACAGTCTTAAATTAATACAACTATATGCTGAATATAGACGACTTTGGGAAGCGCAATGTCCTGATTACACAGAGGACTAAGGGAAGATGCATGGAGAAAAATAAGCCAGGAAATGAACATTCCAATAGCTGAATTAAAGAAAAAAATGGACTCTACTAGGGTCTTACAGGAGGGAAAAGTCGAGAGAAAAAAAGCCGAATCACAGGATCAGGTATTTATTATTTAATATAATTTATATAGATTATCTAATCATAAATTAGGGTTAACAACATTCATTTTATTATATCCAAAATTACACCGGTTTTTATATAATTTCTAATATTTTTTTTTAATTTTATACTGTAGGTCGTGGTGAAATATATGTTTCGAATTGGTATGCCTATGAAGCCTTCAGTTTTCTGGGAGATAGAAATCACCCAGGAAACACACAAGATACTTTAGGTGAAGAAGTGAGTACCTATTATTTACTGATAATTATTCTGCCAAGAAATTGCTCCGTTTGTTATGAAATATCTCCCTAAATGTGAACGTATTTCTTTTATATTTGTTGATCCTCGCCGTGGTATGGCTTGAATAGATAGCATTGATGAGATTTTTGTATCCTGTCGCCATCGGCCGGGTATTACAGTCCCTTCAACTTCGGCATCGAATGATCCTGGGGGAGTGAACCTTTGTGAGGAAGCTTGATCTCTACGCAAGTAGTATATAAGCATATGGTAGTCAATACGACTTTCGTAGCTTTTTCTGGTTCTAATAGTAGCGGCTTCCTCAGTACTCTAAAAACTGAGCTTAAAATGCCAAAGGCATTCTCCACATTGTCTTCTTGCTCTGGACAGCCTGTAATTGAAAATCCTTTTCATTGAACCTCTTTCTAAAGTACCTTCATAAGGTTTTAATGTGTAATCATTGAGAGCGAAAGATTTATCGCCTAGAATAAAATAGGGCACTGCAATTTTATACGATATTTGTAATATTTCTGGCGGAGGAATGTTCAATTCCTTCTTTTCGACCTTTTTATATAAATTGGTGTTTTTAAACACACCGCCATCTGATATACGTCCCTTGCTGCCAACGTCTACGTACAGAAATTTATAGTTAGCGTCAACTAAAGCAAACAGCACTATACTTGGAAACATTTTGTAACAGTCATAATCATCGCCACTATTTATCGGCGACTGTAATATAACATGCTTCCCATCCATTGCTCCTATGACATGTGGGAAATTCCATTTGCTCTCAAACTCTTTCGCTATGGTAAGCCACTCTTCTTCGGATGATGGTATCTGTAAATAAAATTAAGTAATAATTTCTATCTTTACAGAATGCAAGTCTGGATAATACTCGAAATGATGACGGTCATAACGAAGAAAGAAATGAAACTTCAAACTCGACGATAACGGAAGGACCTAAACAAAAGTCAACTAAACCTAAAAAGAGATCCAAAATGAACGAAAGTGATGATCTAACTGATAACGCCATATCTGAAATATTAACACTTCTACAACAATGTGCAAGCGATAATATATCGGAAAAAATGATCCCTATAATGTGTATGGCTAATATATAGGAAATGAGTTGAGAAAATATGATAAAATTACATTAGCATACGTAAAAAATGTAATAAATAAAATTATCTTTGATGCAGACATGGGAGCATACAGTGGTTATAGTTATTATACTTAATCATATGGTGAACACGACAATTTAAGATATATGTCTCATCCCTCTTCCTCGTCGACGCCATTTACATATTCGATGCCTCCTACCTCACTGATGCCTCCTAATTCACCGATGCCTCTTGCCTCGCCCATGCCTCCTATCTCACTGACGCCTCCTACTTCACCGATGCCTCTTGCTTCGCCCATGGCTCCTACCTTCCTGATGCCTCCTACTTAACCGATACCTGCTGCCAATACCAATGCCTTCCCCTCCTCCTTTTCCAGCTCCTCATCATTAAATATTTGTTTGTTTAATTTCCTTATATTATTTGTTCAATTTTCTAATTTGATTAATAAAAAATTAATAAAAATATGTAATTTTATTTTACCTTAGCATAATCCTTTAACACCTCAATTATAGCATCACAGACTTCAGGAACTACAACCGATATCCTTTGTTTTGATATATGAAATAGATACTGTAGACTGGTATAAGAATCTCCTATGGTCAAAAATCTCAACGTCACTAATAATCTTTCCCTAGCGGATATTCCTTCTCGAAAATTTGTGTCCTTCTTACTTATTTTGGTGTTTATGAGAGAATACACATTGTCAAATTCGATTTTACTCATCCGAGTGAAATTTTTTCCTTCGTCATCGAAGCACAACTCTTCAAACAATCTGTTCCCAGCCTGTAATCTATTTTTGTATAAGAGTTTAATCCAAAAACGTTTAGTTTTCTGTTTTCTTTTTTTTTTTTTTGTCAAGCATTAGAATTATTAAAAAGGCAGTGGTAGCGACAGCTTTCCGAATGTACGCACGCGCGGTCTCTATTCGACTTCAAGTTAATTCGCGCGGTGGGATAAGCGTTAAAATATGAATATCAACAGCCGATTTTTTTTTTCAATAAAACGTTAAAATATTTCTACTACTAGCCTATATTCTGTACTAATTTTTCCCCAGTTTATTTATTTGCTTATTATCTTAAAACTATATGTAATTTTTGTGTAGTATATCTCTGTGGTATTAAAATTACTACAATCTACGAAACTTATAACTACTTTAGTAACTAGTGTGTTTTGGCGGAAACTAGACCGTCGACGGATTTTTGCTTCTATTTTATCGCTTAAACAATGGTTTGAAATGGATTTTGATTCGTAAAAGTGATATGATTTTGTGTCTACGCGTGTAAACTATTAGAGAAAACGACGACACAAGTGCTTCGATTTTAATATAAACCTCAAGTTATTTCGACCGGTTAGGCGTCTTATGAACTTGAGTTACTGTCGTCATCGACAGTCCGCTGGGTAGACAGTTTAAACCCGTTCTATCTAAATAGCTGTCAAATATTTGATTTCTTCAGCTACATCTGTAGTACCTGTGCTTCTAAATCTATTTAACAGCAGAACATATAAAAGAACGAGTATTTTGTAAAACTCTTACGGAAAAATATTGGGTACACATAATCGTCCTATTTAAATTAAACAATAGTTAATAGGAACTATAATCTAACATTTTCATACATTTGTAATTTAATTTTCTTAATAAATATAATAAATGAACTAATCAAAAATAACTTACAGTTGTTTTTTTTTTAAATAAAGCCGATATATCGATATTTTTTTCGATTTATAAAACTCCGATATTGACTTACTGTATATTAACTTACTTCTGGCAGGGTTTGGTTAACATGAAGACTGAAGACTGTCAAAACTACATGCCGATTTTTTTTTTGATTAAAAAATCCCAATATTTCCACAGCAACGGGATTATGTCACTACCTACAAGATGGCAACAAGTTATCGAACAAAATGGCACGAGTGGGTCGGCTCGACCGGGGCAGAACTTTTTGAGTAAGTTCATCATACTTTTGGGCTAAAAACTCAATGGATTTTTGTATGTCTGTATTTTGTTTCTTGATCTCTTTCATCGTGGATAACAGAGTACAATATCAAATCAAATTAAATCTAAGTATATATGCTTGAGGGACATAATAGCACACTCAGTGGATAACCCTGGCCGAAAACCGAACTGGGCGTCGTAAAACTTAAGATGTTTGTCTCTCAAGCAAACCATCAAACGCTAATGAGATCGGTCGGTAGTTGGTCTTATCCGATATATTCCCCGTTTTATTTTTAACAATTGGAACTACGACCGTTCTCATTAGATCTGCAGGTAAGTAGGCAGGCAACTATAGCTAGAGGGTAAATTTTAAAGAACTTTTTATATTTTTTTATTGCACAGTCTTTCACCATAATTCTTTTTAAATTATAATAACACATGTTCCGTGCGGGAATCAAACCCGCGGCCCTCAGCGCAGCAACTCAACGTTAAGCTACTTATTGGCCACACTAATGAGAAATGCCGTTAATTATCGCGTTGGTGGACGTTGAATGTAGGTGTAGCCACGACTTAAGGCGTTAATTTGACAATGACATTAACAATGTCGTTTGCCCTTTGGTGATAACTCAAGTAGCGGTACATCAAAGAGATTAACGCACGAAATAACGCGTTGAATCGGCCACACTACATTTGTCTGACTGCGCACGATGAGCGCAATAGGGTCGCACGTATAGCTATGATGGAGCGGAATAATAAAAAAGTTATTACGTTTCTTAAGATTCTGCAAACAGAGCCATGTTTGTAGGATCCGAGACTCAAAAGTTTTAAGAATCGTACAGCGCAAAATGATGCTTTGCGACGAATTATCCAATTATTATCTTTTAATACAACTATCAAAGAATTAGAAAGGTGAAGGTAAACCTAATGGTTTTTTATAGAACCATTTTTAACAAATATAAAAAAGTCTTCTAGGAACATTAACGCCAACTTTAACGCCGTTCAATAACATTGAAATTTATAAACTAATAAGATGAATTTTTACTATAAATCATCTAAAAAAAAAAACACAAAATTCCGATATTACGTGAATATTATGACAAAGTTGTTTTTAATAAAAATAGCATTGATCACAGATAACGTAATATAGTATATACCTGTGATTGATTATTTATTTATTTATTAGAGGCACCTATTGTGTATATATTACGAAATCGATGCAATTATCTTGTATATTTTTTTACCTCGTTCCTACTGTCGGATTTTGCCAGCTTGGGCGTTGGACATCAATACATTTTTTTTAATACTATTATGGAGGCCACACACGGTCAGTTAAAAGGATCAGTTGAACGTTGACGTACATCCAAAAACAGACCGTGAGTGTGGAAGTTAAAATTTTCAACCGACGACAACTCACGGATTTTTTCGGTCGCACTGTGAGTTGAACTGCTCAGTCGAACTGACGTAAATCAAAAAAATAAAAACCCATATGCTGCCCACCATGCTTTCGCGGCAAGTACAGCCTCATTACCGACGATCTCGGATGATGCATCCTATGGGACGACATAGTAGTGCGGACTTTTCTATCCAGGGCGTTAAGTTCAGTCTGAGTTCACCTGAGTATACCAAAGGTATACATGAAGACAGGCACGACCCAACCGTTATATGCGTGTGTCTTATTCACACCGGAAAAAAGGCTGTTAACCTCCTCACTGAACTTGTACTACCTATAGAACATAAAAATATAAAAAATCTTGGGAGTTAAATATTCACGTCACGTCAAATAAAAACCCCTAGCGACATCTATTGAAGATTGTTGTAGGTATAGAAAAATATTTGACAGCTCAACTGAAGGTCAATTCTGTCAAAATGGCTTCGAGATCCAGACATATCGAGCCGCGCTCGGGCATTCGGGCATTGGTAAGTTCAATCTTTCTGAATCTTATAAAAATGTTGCTTTTTCTATCAAAAGTTATTCAAATTATGTTTTCAAATGGCAGATTTAGTTTGATTTGTCAATATTTACGCGAATTCTGCCATGGTTTTATTTTCATTGGGGATAAAAATTATATGTCCTGTATTTAGGAATCATGCAGACTGCAATATTGTTATACCCTGTGTATATAACAATATTGCATTATTTGATATTTTATTTGATATTTGTTTTAGCCTGTTCTGACGATACCGTGCTAGCATTACTAGAAGAATCTGGTGTCGATTTTAGCAGCGACGATGATACCCAAGATCCCACATATAATGAACCCACGGAAATCGCTACACAAGAGCGTCGAAGGTATGATTATAGTGATTCTTCTGTAAATTCAGACTCCCATAATGTTGTTGAGCCACCATCGCCGGCTTTATCGAGTGGATCTATAATACGCCAGGCAACTGGCTCTGGTTTACGCCGAGCAAGATCTTCTCGTCGCCCTCGAAGGTCAGCTCAGCCAACCTACAGACAAATACCGTCTCAATCTCAACCTGATGTTGTGGATTTATGGACTGGAAATTTTGAACCTCTCGAAATAAATCTGTATGAACCAATATACATGCCAAATTTCGACCATAGGTGGTCATACGAATAGTTCTTTGAACGTTATGTAGATGAACAAATACTCTTACAAATTGTGGATTGTACAAACAGAACAGCAGTTCATGTAAAAGGAAGGTCACTGGGTCTTACAGTTAAAGAATTAAAAGTTTATATTGGAGTGACAATGATTATGGCTTCATTACAATATCCTCAAATAGACATGTATTGGCCGTCTAAATGGCAAACAGCCTATCATAACATCAGCTATGACACGTCTTCGTTTTTACGCAATTAGAACGTCATTAAAATAGACATGCAGATGAGTGTGAAAGATGGTCGAAGAAAAATAAAGTGTATGAACGTGTAAGACGCCCCGAAGTTATCAAAGAATATAACGAAAATATGGGGGGTGTAGATTTAGTTATTAGAATGCTAGTACCATCATATCTAGCTGTATGCCCTTCACGTAACAGAACAAAAAAGTGGACAATACGAGTAATTTCTCATATGATAGACTTGGATGTTGCTAACTCATACCTTCAGTTTAAACAGAGAGAGAAGAAAAAAGACATTAAAACGTTATAGGCATACGTGAATTTAAGATGGAACTTGGTGAGAAGTTAATTGCTGATAACTTAGATTCTACAGACACAGATGACCCTGCTGATGAGTTTGAAGAACTTTTACCAAAGCACAAGAAACGTAAGACTACTATAGTTCCGTTACCAACTAAAGCTATTCGTCAAAAAAAGCTAATCACATGCCACAACACAGTTCAAAGCAAAATAGATGCAGAAATGAGGGTTGTTATAAAAAAAACTACAGTTATTTGCAAAAAATGTGCCGTGTATTTATGTTTCACGGCTTAGAGAAACTGTTTTGAAGCTTTTCGTAATCCATAATTATTTTCAGAGGCTTTATTTTCTTATTTTTAAATTATAGCTACGCAAATGGCGTCAATTTTATTGTTTGTATACTAGATAGGATGATATAACTGTTGATGACTGACTTATTGAGACTGATTTTATGTACAATTTAAATCAATAAGTAATGTTATAAAAATATTATCTGTTCAAAATAAATAACGAAGAAGTTAAGTTTAAAGTTTAATTATTTGTCTTTTCAATAAAAAAATGAGTACTTTATGGGCTTATCTTATTTCATTACACAATAATATACTCACATTGGCTGTAATTGTCTTGTATGCAGAACATAAAATAGTCCTGAAAATATAAGTAGCCTGCATCTGTCCTAGTGGCAGGACATAAGGAAAAACTCTTTGTTACGGAAATAGATTTTTTTCAGTAATTTTTCAGTTAAAAAGTAACCCCTAAACAGCTTAAATCCCGAATATGAATTGAATCTGACATAAAAAGTGGTCCCTGTAGTGAGGAGGTTAAGCACTTTGGTCAAGCGGTCATAAAACACGTCGCAAACTGACTGTTTCATACCAGCCTCATCGATACCGATGTTCTGTGACACACCCAGGTATCGGTATGTTTCAGCCTTGGAAAGGGTCCTTAAACTGATGGGCATAGATAAGTCTAGGCCCTCAGAGTTAGCAACCCTTCCCCTTTCAACATGGAGGACCGCACATTTATCCGTCCCCAGCTCCATTCCAATAGAATTGCTAAATTCACAAGTGATGTTTAGCAATTCCATAAGATGGGAGCGACTGGAGGCGAATAACTTGAGGTCATCGATATAGCCGCCCGAATCACTTTTGTCCTTCTTTTCCGTAGCTGAAATCCCTGATCCCTCCAGTAAGGTACTGAGAGGGTTCAGAGAGAGGCAGAACCAGATTGGACTCAGACAATCGCCCTGGAAGATACCCCTTCTTATCCTTATGTGGTTCTCCGCAGCCATCATCCGCTCGCCCAGATGACAAAGGATCGTACTCCACTGCCCCATACACTGTTCGAGGAAGTCTCTAACTGTACAGTATCTTGTACAGCTCGAGGACTCTCTTTAGCCATCTATGGGGCACCGAGTCGAATGCCTTTCTGTAGTCTATCCAGGCGGCGGAGAAGTTCCGACGGTTGCGTTTCACCACTTAGCCAATGACCGCTTCAATGAGGAGTGGTTCCTTGGTTCCACGACCACCGTCCCATCATCCATTTTGAGCGCGTGACATCACCTGATTTAGCTCAAGGTGTCGAGTGTCAGTGTCTGATATTCATTTTGAGTGCGAGAATCACTCGTCACAATATATGGTGGGTAGACACGTGATGGGGCGGTATTTGCTCGGGTCTGTGGTATCCTGATATTTAGGAATCAAGTGAGTGATCCCAGTAGTGAAGAGGATCGGGAGCGACTTATGATCGAGAGCCTCTTGAAACTGCCGGGCGAGCGCAGCGTGACACGCTACGAACACCTTCAGCCAGTAATGATGCAGCCCGTCGAGCCCCGGACTTTTCCAGTTCGGGGCCCTACGGACCGCCTCAGCCACGTCATCCGGCGTTATGGTGACGGGGTCCATAGGCGTAACACTCGCACTCTGGCTCGCCACAACTTCCATCCAAGGGCCCTCGCTGTAGTTTACGGGCTGTGACCACAGGCCACGCCAAAATGCGACAGTGTTAGTCTGATCCGGTCCTGGGCCCGCTCCACATACCTCTGGTCGCTCCAATGATTTATAGAGCCTCTTCTGATCACTCTGGAAGAGACGATTCTGGTTTAACCGCCTTGACCTCTCGGTAAATCGTCGAATTCGCTTCCCCTAAGCAGCGATCTTTTGCTTCAGGTCGTCTATGCGCTCCGTTAGTTTCTGCGTGATATCCGGCTGGGACAAACTGATATTTGTCCCAGCAAACGCCATTCTAACGGTGCACACAACCTTCGGTCTATTATTACCCGACCTGAAGCTTGTCAGTCTGCCGATAAGGGCCCTTGCCTTTGCGACACGGTCCTCAATTCTTTTTCCCCAGGCTGGGATGGCTCTACTTTGTTTAGTAATGCGTCCAGCCATGGGAAGTTTGGCGCCAATAATACGGCAAGCTGCCACTGCGGCGCCAAAAAGAACTGAGTCCGTCTCGCAGAAGTCGTGGCTCGCTTCCAAATAGGTTACCAGCATTGGGTTAAGGGCCCTCACGAAAGCCCGATTTCGCTTGCTTTGGGGTATGCGGGGAAGTCGCAGTCTATTTTCGAGAGGCACTCTGCGCGTTTCCAAAATCGCCTCTTCCAATATACTCCTCATTTGCTCTAGTTCGTGGGAGACCATTTCATCATCCTCTGAATCAACCACAACTGGAAGATCCATGGCGGCTTCCACGCGTGGATGCTGGTCTGTTGCCTTAGGAGCCGCATCCCCAGCCATGCACGTCGTAGTCGTTCGAGCTCGGCACCAACAAATATTTTCGAGCGCATGTTGTACCAAACTCGGTCTGCCAGGTTTTGTTCCGTGACGGGAATAGACGGCTCCGGCTCAGCAAAAAAGCAATGCATCCGAGTACGATACGCTATCCCTGCAGTTTCTCCCCCTTTCGCCCTATAGTACGCCCACAATGCGTTTGCGTTCATATTTTTTGTCAAACGCATGCGGCGCACTCCACCAGCGGCGGATGCCGCTTGCCGAGTCCGAGAGGACCCTGCCGACATTAAGCCATCTGGTGGGGATGATGGATGCGGGGGGCTACTAGGTGATCTTGCAGCTCCTCGTGCTCGGCTGACGGCCCGCATGCTGCCGCGTCCAGCGCCAGCTCCAGACGCGCCCCGGCGACCCCCAGGCAGCGGCCCTATACGCTTTCTATTACAATCCATCATCCATTTTTGGGCGCCAATTAACGGGAGAAGCCCACGCACGGCACCGTTTCATTGTATCATTGTACGGCCGTAAGCACAAACGGGCCTTTGCACCCTGAGTACTGCAGAGGCACGGCGCTCACACCTCTTGGCAAGGCGCTGACTGACTGCACCGACGTAGCAGTTTTGTCACTTAACTGTTACGTCAGCGGGCAGCCTATGCCGTTTTATTATTATACACTTGTGCACTATAATCCTGTCCTGCGCCGATGGCTAGTCTCCGTTGAGGCAGGTCGCTGTGGCCAAAATTCGGTCTGAAGGACATTATTATTATTAATAGAGTATTCACATCTGGTTGGGCTGGATAAATATATAAAAGGAAATGACAAATATACATAATTATATATTTAATATACTAACATAAATAAATAAATAATACATAATTAAATAAAAGCCCAACCAGATGGAAGCCCTCGGCAGGGGAGACCAAACGGCCGAGGGTTAGGGGGAAAGGGAAAGAAACCGGCGGACGATGCGGGCGGTATCGAGGAGCACCGAGTTCCGCATTTGAGCCCGTAGCGGTCCGTCACGGAGTCCCAGCCTCCTCAGATAACCCGAGAGGCTGACTGGGATTAGCCCATTCGCAGAGACGACTACAGGAATAATTTCGGTCGGCAGACCACCCCACATGTCGGTCATCTCGTGAGCCAGGTCTAGATATTTTCATTGCTTATCTGTTTCATCTTTCACGAGGTTCTCGTCATACGGAATGGTAATGTCGACCAAAAATATCCTTGACTGTGCCCGGTCCATCAGCACAATATCAGGCTTATTCGCAAGAATAGTCCTGTCTGTGATGATGGCCCGGTCCTAGTAGAGCCCAGCGTGGTCATTTTCGAGCACGGCTTCCGGCAAGTACTTGTAATACGGCGATTTCTGGTCCACGAGACCGTATTTCAGAGCGAGCTCCTGGTGTAGAATTCTGGCTACTAGGTTGTGTCTGTGCAAGTACTCAGAGTTAGAAAGCGCCGAGTAACCGGAGTTGACATGCCTAAGCGACTCAGCGGGATGGCGACAAGCTCGACAGACGTCGACGGTGCCATCCTTTAGGATGTATCTCCGATAGTTGTTGGTCTTAATAACCTTATCCTGTATCGCACAGACAAAACCCTCGGTTTCTCCGAAGAGGTCACCGAAACGTAGCCAGTTGAGCTCATGTAGAGCCCTGTAGTACCTTCCGTGGAGCTCCTTCTCCTTCCATACGGTCTCCCGGTCGGAAATGCTCTGTACTGCCGGGTCTTGCCATTGGTCGTTGGCTAAGGATAGAGGGCTAAGTCCTTTATCACTAGAAATGACGTCATTATAGAATGGATCATCCGATCTCGCCAGGAAGTAATGACGGAGGCTGCACACTTCGCGATTATGCATGGTGAGCGCGCTCAAAAAGCCACGCCCTCCATGCTTTCGCGGCAAGTACAGCCTCATTACCGACGATCTCGGATGATGCATCCTATGGGACGTCATTGTAGTGCGGACTTTGTGCGGCGTTAAGTTCAGTAAGTTCATATAGAAAAGGTGGGTCACTTTTGTACCTCCTTTCCGAAGCTGAAATCCCCTCCCGGAACCCTCCAGTAAAGTACTGAGAGGGTTCAAAGAGAGGCAGAACCAGATTGGACTCAGACAGTCGCCCTGGAATATACTTATCCTTATTTATATATAAGGTATTCGACTTGTTTCAGTATGATGTCCTTTGGCCGAAGCTATTGGCGAGTGGTGTCCCGAAGGACATTTTCAAAGTATTTAAATACTGGTATGGACATCAGACTAACCAGATCAAACGGTTTGGACAGTTTTCTAATGACTTTAAGCTTAAATTCGGGGTGAGATAATGTGGTTTGACCTCTCCCGCACTATTTAATTGTTATGTTGACCAGCTGACTCAGCAGCATGCGTGTTGGATGCTCTATAGACGGTCTGTGCGTCAATAGAATAAGTTATGCCGACGACATGGTGCTGCTGAGTCCTTCAGTCGCTGCTCTCAGAAGATTGATGTGCGTTTGTGAGCGTTTTGCTGAGTCTCACGGTCTTCTTTACTATGTAAAGAAGAGCGAGTTAATGCTATTAAAGGATGACGGTCGCAGAACTCTCAATGTAACGCCATTGTACCTAAACGGGGTAGCTTTACGTCGCGCGTTGTCCTTCAAGTATCTTAGTCACATTGTGAACGAGAGACTGAGGGATGACAGTGATATGGAGAGGGAAAGGAGAGCGTTGGCAGTCCGCTGCAATGTGTTAGCCCGCAGATTTTCACGATTTACCACAGAAGTTAAAATAACATTATTTAAAGCCTTCTGCCAAACAATGTACACGTGTAATCTTTGGGTTGATTATACACAGGGGGCATTCGGTGCACTTTGAGTACAGTATAACAATGCCTTCAGGGTGATGTTGGGTCTGCCGCGATTCTGCAGCGCATCGGGCATGTTTGCGCAAGCGCGCTCCGATAGCTTCGAGACGGAGTTGCGCAAACGGGTCGCCTCGCTCATGCGCAGAATACGTGGTAGCTCCAACACCATACTGAGGGTTTTTAATGACAAACCCGATTGTCCTGTTATGGGACACTGGGTGACTATGCATGTGCATAAACCTAGTGTAGGCAAGCCTGGTTTGTACTTAAACTAATTATTCCTAATTATTACTAACATAGTTATAGCTTTTGTGTACCTACTAACCATTATGGGCGTTATGTCTGAAATAATGCGATTTTGCGACGCCACCCTTATTTAGCACTTTCCTTCGGACACTTTTTTATAGAGTTTGTTCCCCTTACCTCTACACCCCATAGTTTTAATATCTATTTTGAAAATAGGATCCTGTTCAATTTCCCTTTTAAAACTTGCCATTGGCACCATTACTATTGTCATAAGTATCATATTATCACAATAATATAAATTATCTATGCTGTCTATGTACTACCCGTGCGGTTAAAGAATGGGATTGAAAATGGTAGCACCTCTATTCACCTCTCGCTTGCACACTGTCGCTATCTATACTCACACCCGCCGGTAACGACTTCAAAAAAATACCTTGTGATATGTGTTTTCGTATGTTCTATAACTTCAGTTCAACTTGTTAATGGAATTCATAATAATAAAATGCCATAAACCACAAAAAATATCAGTCCAGTTTTTTGAGCTACGACGCGTTTTGAGTTTTCTTCATAATTTAATGACATTTAAATTTATTTTTGCCATTGAGAAATAAGCAACCATTTTTAAAATTTTCGTTTGCCTGTTTTTTCGAGCTAATCTTCGGAATAGCTGAACCGATTGCAATAAAACTTTACGAAAAAATAGAGTAAATACCATCAGTCATCAAAACTAAATTTTATCCGAAAAATTTAAAGATTTTAATACAATAGAAATATTGATAGGATAAAATATATGAACTTTAATGATAATCTTGTGGCTAATAACGCCACGTTATTAAAAACCACCAGGCAAAGCCAGAGTGGGTCGCTAGTTATATAATTAATTTTAAATTAATGTACCTACTTGCGTGTACAGTTTTTTCAAATATTTCCTCATTAATAGAAAATTTCCAATTACACGAATAATATAACGTTAAAACGATATATCGTTATTAGCGGGTTTTCACCATTGGTCTTATACATGTTGACGGTACGGGCTCTGTGAGTCGCCATATCGAATCCCATTCTTTATCCATTTACTTGTACGGGCTATACATAATATAATAATGTAATAATAAGGAAAACGCAGTAAATAGATTTAACTCTTTGATAATAGGTACTAAACGTAGTGATTTATATATTTTTTGCCACATATAGTACAGGGTGTTTGGTGGGTGGGCCGACAAACTGAAATGGGAGATAGATGGGTTCATTAGAAGCATATTTTCTTAGTAATTTTTTTTTTCTATCTCTTACCATTTTTTTAAATGAATCTTTAAAATTTTTTTGTTATTATCCCAATTTTCTAGTATTTTGGTTCAATAACTTCTACTATTTCTAGTTTTCTACTATTTTTTTCTATTTTTCCTAAGAAATACAATTTTTTTAAATTAAAAGAAAGATTGAAAGCCCCAAAGGCATATGAAAAAATACTAAGGACACATTGAAAGTGAACAAACGAGAAAAAAATTGTAAGCCCTTAAGTTTCTAGCCCCTTAAAAAAATAAATAAAAATGTTGAGTAATTTCAAATGGCCATAAAAATTTTCTATTTCATTCTCTTTCTATCGGTATATCACATGTTACATAAAACTTTAGATTATCGACAAAATTGTTGATAATCAAATGTGAGAACGGGGGAATTAAAAAATTACAAGTTTCGAAAAATTGCCAGGGCACCCTAAACTGGTTTTTACACGTGTAAATATTTTTTTATGGTTTCATTCTTGCGTTTGCGAGCCAGATAGATGTTGTCTCTTTCTGGTGGTACAGGCGAAGTTACGACGCGCGGATCAGCTACCTGCTTCTGTTGTTATTAAATTTAGTCGT